GTGGGCAGCAGGGTGGACAGCGTGGGCAGCAGGGTGGACAGCGTGGGCAGTAGGATGGACAGTATGGGCAGTAGGGTGGACAGCGTGGGCAGTAGGGTGGACAGCGTGGGCAGTAGGATGGACAGCGTGGGCAGCAGGGTGGACAGCGTGGGCAGTAGGGTGGCCACTGTGGGCAGCAGGGTGGCCAGCGTGGGCAGCAGGGTGGCCAGCGTGGGCAGCAGGGTGGCCACTGTGGGCAGCAGGGTGGACAGCGTGGGCAGCAGGGTGGACAGTGTGGGCAGTATGGTGGACAGTGTGGGCAGCAGGGTGGACAGTGTGGGCAGTAGGATGGACAGCGTGGGCAGCAGGGTGGACAGCGTGGGCAGCAGGGTGGCCAGCGTGGGCAGTAGGGTGGTCAGCGTGGGCAGTAGGGTGGACAGCGTGGGCAGTAGGGTGGACAGCGTGGGCAGTAGGGTGGACAGCGTGGGCAGCAGGGTGGACAGTGTGGGCAGTAGGGTGGACAGTGTGGGCAGCAGGGTGGACAGTATGGGCAGTAGGATGGACAGTGTGGGCAGCAGGGTGGACAGCGTGGGCAGCAGGGTGGACAGCGTGGGCAGCAGGGTGGCCAGCGTGGGCAGCAGGGTGGACAGCGTGGGCAGCAGGGTGGACAGCGTGGGAAGCAGGGTGGTCAGCGTGGGCAGTAGGGTGGACAGCGTGGGCAGTAGGGTGGACAGCGTGGGCAGCAGGGTGGACAGCGTGAGCAGCAGGGTGGACAGCGTGGGCAGCAGGGTGGACAGTATGGGCAGCAGGGTGGACAGTATGGGCAGCAGGGTGGCCACTGTGGGCAGCAGGGTGGCCAGCGTGGGCAGCAGGGTGGACAGCGTGGGCAGCAGGGTGGACAGTATGGGCAGCAGGGTGGACAGCGTGAGCAGTATGGTGGACAGTATGGGCAGCAGGGTGGACAGTGTGGGCAGCAGGGTGGCCACTGTGGGCAGCAGGGTGGACAGCGTGAGCAGCAGGGTGGACAGCGTGAGCAGTAGGGTGGACAGCGTGGGCAGCAGGGTGGCCACTGTGGGCAGCAGGGTGGACAGCGTGGGCAGCAGGGTGGACAGCGTGAGCAGTAGGGTGGACAGTGTGGGCAGTAGGGTGGACAGCGTGGGCAGCAGGGTGGACAGCGTGGGCAGCAGGGTGGCCACTGTGGGCAGCAGGGTGGCCAGTGTGGGCAGCAGGGTGGACAGTATGGGCAGCAGGGTGGCCAGTGTGGGCAGTAGGGTGGACAGTATGGGCAGCAGGGTGGCCAGCGTGGGCAGTAGGATGGACAGTGTGAGCAGCAGGGTGGACAGCGTGGGCAGCAGGGTGGACAGTATGGGCAGCAGGGTGGCCAGTGTGGGCAGTAGGGTGGACAGCGTGAGCAGTAGGGTGGACAGTGTGAGCAGCAGGGTGGACAGCGTGGGCAGCAGGGTGGCCAGTGTGGGCAGCAGGGTGGACAGTATGGGCAGTAGGATGGACAGTATGGGCAGTAGGGTGGACAGCGTGAGCAGTAGGGTGGACAGTATGGGCAGTAGGATAGACAGTATGGGCAGTAGGATGGACAGTGTGAGCAGCAGGGTGGACAGTGTGAGCAGCAGGGTGGCCACTGTGGGCAGCAGGGTGGCCAGCGTGGGCAGCAGGGTGGACAGCGAGGGCAGGAAGGCGTCCAGCATGCAGGACACTCACTTGGAGAAGTTGGCCAGGTTCTGGATGACCTTGGCGATGAGGGTCAGCGTGCGGGAGGTCTGCTCGTCGGGATACTCCTGCGTCAGGTTGAACAGGCTGGGCGACATGACAGCGGGACACAGGAAGCGCAGGAAGAGCGAGGCGCTGATGAGGCGGTCGGCGATGTCCTCCCGGCCCCGCTCCGCGCAGCGGACGCGCCAGGACGCGAACACCTCCTTCAGCTCCCGGGGGAACACGCTGAGACAGGGGCGGGGGGG